TAAATTAAGAGGTGGGCGACCGTGAACGCGCGTTTCTCCGTGCCAGCCGGCCTGACCCTGCTGCTTGGACGGGACGAGGAACGGAGTGAGAATTGGGTGTGACGCGCGGAAGAAGGTCGTTAATATTCTGGATGAGTCACCTCATCACAGCCTTCATGAGACCGCCTTGGGGAGCTGCAGGTAATACCACGGCGCTAAGGTTAGTTTCTAGACCCCTTGGAGGAGAGGCTGCGTGCGAGGACCTGTCATTTCGCCAGTGACTGCCTCGCTACGGGAAAGCGAGACACGTCCCAGTGCCTTTTAAACCCAAAAATACATTACAGCAAAGACTGGTTCATCCCAAAGATCCAGTCCCCTGGCACAAACAGAGTAATATTGTGTATGCTGTTCAGTGTCAATAGGGTGATCAGTCTTACATCGGGGAAACTAAATAGCCACTGGCCAAAAGGATGGCCCAGCATGGAAGATCAACATCATCAGGCCAGGATTCTGCGGTCTACACTACATTGAGGTCTACACTCGTCTCCAGGCCAGTAGTCACTCTTTCAGGGATGAAGATGCTCACATCCTGGACAGAGAGGAACAATGGTTTGAGAGAGGAGTAAATCATGCTGCTGGCTCCAATTCGGACAATATCCGGATGTGTTTGGTCAACGCAAGATCTGTTACCAACAAAACTTTTGTCCTCAGGGACTACTTTCAAGAGCACGATTTAGACTTTCTGTGCATCACAGAAACTTGGATGTCTCCGGGTGAGTCCAGCGCCTTGACGGAATTACTGCCACTGAACTGTTTGTATTTTAACACACCGCGGCCATCAGGCCGGCGCGGTGGTGGATTATTAACAATATTCAAATCAACTTTTGACTGTAAACAACTGCCCATCCCAATTTCCTGCGACAGCTTTGAGCTGAGCGTCTTTGAACTCGGACATTCACCTCAGACTTTATTTGCACTCGTCTACCGCCCACCACGCTCTAAGGATTTCATAAATGAGTTTTCTGACTTCTTGGCTGAAATCACACCAAAACATGAACATGTTTTCATTATTGGGGACTTTAATTTGCACATGTGCTGTCCTGAGAAGCCCTTGGTTAAGGACTTTTTAGATTTATTGGACTCATTTAATTTAACTCAGCATGTTTCTCATCACCACTGAGGAGCTGACATCCCAGTTCAACTCTGTCTGCTTAAAGACTCTGGATCATGTTGCGCCTGTTAAAACTAGAAAATCAAAACTCAGAGCAGAACCTTGGCTGAGTGACGTCACCAAGGCTGTTATGCAGCAATGTTGGACGGCGGAGCGAAAGTGGAGGAAAGACAGGCTGCAGGTCTCTTTTCAAATACTTAAAGAGAGTTGGCGCCTTATCAGAAAGCAGTGAAAGCTGCTAAATCCAAATACTTCTCTGATATAATTACTTCAAACTTTCACAACCCACGTGTCCTCTTCTCCACCCTAAACTCTGTTCTCTACCTCACTGAACCATCACCTCTGGAAGCCTCGACTGAGCTGAGCAACAACTTCCTACATTTCATTTTGGAAAAAATTGCGACCACCAGGGCTCTCATTTCCCCTCCAACTCATGACCCATCCATCCCACCTCAATCTGTAGCTCCTTTTGACCATTTTGAACCCATCACTCTATCTTCTCTAGAGCAGGTCATGTGCAGCTTGAAACCTTCTGGCTCCCCCTTTGATGTGGTCCCCCCTCTACTATTAAAGGAGGTTTTTCCAACTCTAGGTCCGTCCATTTTTGCCATAGTAAACAGTAGTTTATCCACTGGCGTGGTGCCAAAATCCTTTAAACATGCTGCTGTCCAGCCTCTCCTGAAAAGACCAAACCTTGACCCCTCAGTCGTTTCCAACTACCGGCCTGTCTCCAAACTCCCATTTGTTTCTAAAGTACTGGAGAAAATAGTCGAGTCCCAGTTGAAGTGCTTCCTGGAGGATCACGCCATCCTAGAGCTTTTCCAATCTGGCTTAAAACCTCTCCATAGCACTGAAACTGCCCTGCTGAAGGTCTTTAACGACATCTTCAGATTAACAGATACCGGTGATTCTGTGCTGCTTGTCCTGTTGGACCTCACAGCCGCCTTTGACACCATCAACCATGAGATCCTCATTGCTAGGTTGGAGCAGTGGGTGGGCGTCACAGGATCAGACCTCAATTGGTTCAGATCTTACCTCGCTGACAGATCCTTTTGTGTCTCCATCAAGGATTTTAGTTCTGCAGAGGCAGAGCTTAAATGGGGGGGTTCCGCAGGGGTCCATCATGGGTCCCGTCCTATTCTCTTTATACCTGCTGCCGCTTGGTGCTATTTTCTAGAAACACAACATGCCCTTCCACTTCTATGCCGATGACTGTCAAATTTACTTCCCCCAAGACACAATGGTACATGCTCTATTCAACCGCTGCTCAACTGCATGGCTGACATCAGGGACTGGATGGCTTTAAATTTCTTGAGTTTCAATGAAAAGAAGTCTGAAGTCATGTTGTTCCCTCCCAATGACAAGATCACTACCACTGCATCAACCTCTCCGCTCTAACCCTGTCAGAAAAACAAAGAGTCACTAATCTGGGAGTGATAATGGACCCTTCCCTGAAGCTTAACAATCCTGTAAACATGATTGTTAAATCATGTTTCTTCCAACTGAGGCGGCTGTCTAAACTGAAGCCCATATTGTCCAAAAAGAACCTGGAGACAGTAATACATGCATTCATTACATCTAGGCTTGATTACTGTAATTCACTCCTGTTTGGTATCAGTCAGACCTCCATTGCATGACTACAACTGGTCCAGAATGCAGCAGCCCCATTTTTAACCAGTACAGGCAAAAGAGAGCGCATTACACCAGTTTTGGCCTCACTGCACTGGTTACCAGTTCACTTTCGAATCCAGTTCAAAATACTCATGTATGTCTACAAATCACTGAACAGTGT